TATATATATATATATATATATATATATATATATATATATATATATGTATATATCGGTCAATTTTAATGTTTAAACTCGAGGAATTGGTAGCTTTAAGCGGTTATTTATCTATCTATCCTTCTATAAAAATAAACGATAATTTAATCCCTGCCCCCAGATTAACAAAACTCCAATATCTCCATCCTGAAATCTGACCCAGATCTCGAATCGCCAACATTCTTTTCGACTCAATCTCCATTAAATTTTTCCATTGTCTCGAAAAATCTCGTTCCTCGAGAAATATCGGCGAAAAACCATTCTTACCGAATTGCGCAACATAGCCCCGCGGAATTCCTCGAGAAATTCCGCTCATTAGGTGGTCGAGATCCCGCGTGTCGATCGGAGAATGGTTCATCGATGATTCATCTCCGATGCTTGGTGCACGGCACCTGCGACAGGATCATTCTCTCTCTCTCCTCCCCCCCCCCTCCTAGGGTCGTGACACTAGACTACCTATTTTCACCGTTACGCAATCGCAACGAATCCTCTTCCTGACTTTCGGCCAAATGTCGTGCGAAACGAGACGACAAAGCTTCTTCGTTTTCGAGCGTATCAAGCTCGTTGCATCACCTCTTTATCCATTAGCTGTGTACGCGCTCCTACGACGACGGTAGGATCCGCACACGACACGGGTTTGCGTGGAAAGTAAATTGGCTTTTGTTCCCGCGATTTTTCCTTTTTTTTTTTTTTTACCGATTGATCGAGGAATCATTTACGTTGGAGTAAGAGGAGACAATTGCGAGGGAATTCGAAGCGACGGAAAGTTCGATAAAGGTAGAGAGGATTACTATAATCTAGTAGAGATTAACGGATATAGCGAGATAAGTTTTTAAATCGTTAACGATGGAAAAATATATTTTTGTGATTTTTAAAATTCTACAAAGAACAAAGAATTTCGAACTTCAGAAAGGTCAAAGTTATTCGGCTTCTATAAAAAAGCTTTCGAATCTGCACTTTGGCGTTAGATTAAAGAACTTTTGGGAAAATAAAATCGTTCATTCTTCTAAATAGCGGTCGATTGTGTAACTTCTATACCAATATCTGGCTCCTTGAGTTCCTTGCGGTACTTTTTTTTTCATAAAAATCGCATCAAGTAGTCCGGAAGAAAAACTCGTCGTCGTGCGGCGATACGATAAAAACGAGGCAGAAACGATTCGAAGAAGAAAGAAAGGGAGAAGAGGGGAAGACACGAGGTATTGGCAGTAGGTGGTCGTAGAGAGAAAGACCACGTCTACTCCGCGGAGAGGAGCCAGGAGAAGGCGTGACAACGGCTCCGCTTAGCATAACAATATTTACTACTAGAAGACACTTAAGAGACTTGAATATTCTATGCGCGGGCCTCGCCTAGCCATTGCATAACCACACCAGTCCTGTATAATTACGTGTCGAGGATGGGACAGGATCGTTTTCCTCGTCGAGAAGATCGTCCACGGGTCGAAGAATCGCGAACGATTCTCGACGATCGGCGAGGAAAGCTCGACGAGAAATAAGGGTTTTAATTGATAGACGCTATTCAAATGTCAGTCATCCGATGATTACCCGCGTTGGGACTACCGATGGAGTCGTACATGGTTGTAGGATGATGATCGTCTCAGACGAGTCTTCATTGATTCAGGCTTTTATTGAATAAGCGGAGATATTTGAGAGGAATCCTGTTCCGTGTGGGAGGATATGTGCAGTTTGCTTGGAAATTGATGGCTGATTTGTTACGATGTAACGTAATCAAAAATCGTCGATTTTGAAACATTTGCAGAAATTAAGTATCGTGAAATCGGTGAAATAAACGTGTCGCGATTGTCCAATAAATATTGCATCGATCAATTAAAAAATATTCAACGCGATAATATATGTAACGAGATCCAAAAGGATTGTATTTGTAATAATTAATATATAATATAATAAAAAAAATATATCTACTGATAAAAATGCAAAGGGGACGTATGTGATTACATTTAAAAGAAATACAAATACATTTTTATTTTATCAGATTTTTGAAAGCTTGCGAAAAATAGATTCGAATTCGTGGGCGTGAATTTGTTTTTCAACCTCCGCTATCTCGAACAATTCAATTGCAGGGTATCGAAACAGCTCGTTTCACCTACCGATCGCGATATCCACGTATGTAAGTACGTCTAATAACAGGCAACGAGGGGAGGTGGCCCGACTTATCGATTAATCGTCGCCCATTGTAATCTCGCTATTAGCTCTCTCGAACAAAGAGGAAATAAAAAATAAAAAGAGACACGAGATACACGCCGCTTGCGAAACCAACCAAAGAGATATTATCTTACGGCGACGATTACGCGCGAATACGCGCGTACTTTCTAATTGCGAGAGCGTCCGCGGATGTCGTCGACTGGCCTCACTACGTGATAAGTGAAAATATCTCGTAAACCGTTGGCGAGAGCCATGGTCGACGTGATTCTAAAGTTAGGTACTGACTGGGATATAAACACTGTGTCTTGACATTCGAACGACACCAGTAGAGGTACGTAAAATTCATTTAACTTTTAGAAATCGGCTTGTTTGAGATGGTAGATTGTTAATTAATTTACAAACTATCCCCCGAAATCGTGGTATAAACGAGATGGATACTGATTCTGCATGTAAAGATAAATTGAAAAAAAAGAATTACATTTTTTTGTTTGGAGCTTCGTTTTCAAGTAAATCAACTTTGAAAAATTTTTAGGTTATAAATTGAGAAATTACATTAATCAAAGTTCATTTATTAAGTTATAAACAATTTATATGACACATTACCTTTTATTATTAATGAATTGATGAAATTCTTCTTAACATAAATCACTCTTATCAAATGATAAAATTTTATTGCTGCATTGTTTCATTATCATTAATAAATCTATTAATTTGACAGGTAAAAAGAATTACACATTTATGTATAAAAAAATCGATCAAAGTAAAAGTTCGAATCAGCTTATTTTAAACTTCGCAGTGACTATAATTTGTGTGTTTCTTAAGGATCGAAGTCGAATATATACCGAAATTAGTATTTTAGTCGATAAACTCGATTAACCGAACAAATCACACGCTATCAATATCAACGTTATTATTCGATCGTACAGACGCCAAAATTGATGTCCACTCGTCAACTGAATTACAATTAACAATAACAATAACGTAAGTAAATGGCAATCGAGGTAAATAGACTACCATTTTCTTATCGTTACTTCCTATCGATTCAACGAAATCTCTTCGAGATCTCGAAGAGATCGTAACGAAGGATCCCCATTCGGAACAAAGATTCTTATCTCCACGTCTATTCGATCTTCTAACAATATTTTGCTCTCGATGATCGACCGTAAAATAAAAAAGAAAAAAAAATTATATTTCAAGAATAATAAAAAGAAAAGATTCTATTCTCTCGTTATTTATATTCTCGATGTGCAATTATCGATAAGAGTCGATACTTCGATAAAATCTCATCTAATAGTAATAATTATCAAGATGGAGCCACTTTCTTGTTAGAATTGTTCAGAAATCAATCGAAATGAACCATATGTACGTTTTCATTAAAATGGAATATATAGATGCTGAGTTAGAATTGTTTAAATATTTATTTGTATGTTATAAAATTAAATATATAAATCGACAAATCAATAAACAATACGTTGGCTGCTATGTAACAAGTTGGTCATTTAAAATGATTTTTACTTTGTATCAATTCACTTATCTGTATTTTATATGATTTTATCATCAAAATATTTTAGATTCTTTTATATATATATATATATAAAACATCGAAACATTAAAAATATGTAAATATAGCAATAGTTAAATGTAATAATATATAAAATAAATTTTTAAAATTCAACAGGTAATATATAATTTGAAGAAAGACAGGCATGACAGCTAACATGTTAAAATATAATCAAGCAATCCGAAATATAAAAAAAAGAAATTGAAAAATAAATAATACATACGAGAAATGTTGTATTTTGATGATATATGTATATTTTTCAACTTTAGAATGCTTTTTTCAGAAAATGAAATATCAATTCTAACCTTTCAATGATGAAGTTGGAATTTTCTTTCCATGTAAACGAAGAGATTTTAGATGAAATAAATAGTTTTAAGGAAATTTACACTGTTTATTTTTGACACAGAACTTTGTATTTATTCATATTACTTCTATATACTATGAAGAGATAAAGTAAAAAAAAATTCAATTTTATTCGATGTACAGAGGACAATCGAGTGTAAAGAAACGAATCTATCTATGACGCATAGATGGCGACAGTACGATGTTAATAAGTATATCGCCATTTCACACATGCTTAACCTCTTTAATTATACATTTCGTTCTCTCGAAATCCGCATCGTGTCGATCAACAGATAATTTTCTCTTCTACTCGCTTAGAATCTAAGATTTATAACGAAATAATCGTTCAATTGCCGGATCATTCGACGGACAAATGAGTCGGTTTATCGGCCTTTAGAATTCAGTCCAATCGTGAGATACGTGCTCCCGTGGGGCATAAATCGCATAAGTCTTTCTAGTCGATAGAAACCGTACTCGCATATCTATATTCGCGTTATTCGGTACACGTAATCGGTTTGTACTTCGAGTACCTATTTTCTTGGAAGAAAGCATTAGAAACATTATGCTTTCAAGATACGAGAGTTGGCAAGAGTGAAAGTTCATACACATGAAGTTACGTCAAAAGCGAGATACCGAAAAACTTGTGCATAAAAACTTGACGCGTGTTAACATTCATGTGGCCAATAGAGCATTATGCAATGAGTCATACGTTATGTGCTGACAAGTACGAGCAAATATCTTTTCAACGAAATTTCATTTTGTGTGTAATAGTTACAGTAATAGTGAAATTATGTGTGAATTAATTGTAGGATATGAATTGGAAAGGTAAAATCGAGTGATAATTTTGTGTTTTATATTGATTTCTACTTTACAATCTAAATGATAAATTCTAAATGCTGTAGTTTCTCTTAATCCATTCGAGATTGATAATATTTCATGTATAATACAGTAGAAAAAAGGAATAATATGTAATTTAAAGATATAAAACATATATAACCAATTGGTAAAAACTAATAGAGATAAGATTATAAAACAAATAAAATAAAAAAAAATTGTAAAAATTGATTCCTGAGAATTGTTTTATAATAATAATAAAATCCTCTCGAACGGATTAATTTGATAAACTATAGAGAAATATACGTGATCGTTGCATCAATGATATGCTAACCTAACCTAAAATTTTCTATCTTTAAGCGATGTGAAGAAATTATTCTGCATTTTAAACAATTTTCTAACAAATTAATATCAAATAGCAATTACATATATGAGAAAAATTTGTTTATTCATAAAAATTATTCATTTCTAATTAATTTCTATTAAAAAATTATCGAAATCAAAAGTGACAATTGTTTTCATATGATAATAATAATTACTAATTATTCGTACAATTAATAATTAATATAATAAATATTTTTTTATAATTTTAACAAGTATAGTTTTGTATATTATAATATTTTGTATTAATATTTAGGCATATTTGATAAATTCATTTAAAAATATACATATTTATCATTAGTATATATATATATATATATATATATATATTATATTATATTATCACT